TGATGAATGTTCATATTGTATACCTAAAATGTACCAATAAATTTAATGAATAATAATAAAAAAGAAAACTGCAAAGATCCACCAAAAATCCCTAGAACTAATAAATGAGTTCAGAAAAATTACAAGATATGTGATCAACACAAAAATCAACTGCATTTCTATTCAGTGACAATAAACCATGGTAACCAAAATTAAAAATAAAATATTTGATTTCAAGTTGCTCAAGAGCAAATTGAATACTTAAGTAAAAATGAGAGAAAACATGGGAAAAAATAAACCTGGACCTCAACTTGATGTCTTATCCAAAAAATAACTACAAAATGAAATGTGTACTTATTTTCTTTTTTAAAATTTTTATTTTATTGGCACATTTTAAATATACATAATGATAACACTCATCATGGGAAATTTGTATCTGTACATGATACATCTTGTTTTTTTTTCCATTTCCCCACCCCTCCTTTCAACCTCTTTTTCCCTCTGTGTTTACAAAAGCTTTTGAAACATGTATTTAAACATAAAACTGCAAAATTTATATAAAGAACATAGAAAATTTAGAGAATCTAGGACTAACCAAAGATTTGACATCAAAAGCATGATATGTGAGAAATGTTATAAACTGAATCTCATAAAATTAAAAACCTTTGCTCTGTGAAAGCTCCTGGTAAAAATATGAAGACAAGTCAGGTGTGGTGGTACATGCCTGGAATGTCAATACTGGAGCCTAAGGCAGGAGGATCATGAATTGGAGGCTACCCAGATAAAAGCTGTAACAGTAGATCACTGGCCAGAGTTTTTGAGTTATCAGAGCCACTCCAGGAACTTCTTTTAGAAAAACACTGGAAGCACAGAGAATGGGTTGTAAAACTTGCTTACTTGTGTAACATACTCAACCTGCTAATAACTCATTCTGTCACTTCAGGGGAGAATGGCAATTGTACTCATTAGTAGATAAAGTGGCTATATTCAAAGCCAAACTAATTATGGGGGCAACAATTGAACACTGGGATTTTTGACATGTTTCAAACATTAGCAGAGATTTTGAAAGACGCTGAACTAGGGCCTTATTTCTCCCAACTGGTATATGATCATTTATCTCTGTTTTCAAGGGCTGGGGATTTAGCTCAGTGGTCTCACCACCTGCTTTGCAAGGTACCAAGTTCAATCCCCAGTACTCAAAAAAAAAAAAAAGAGAGAGAGAGGGAAAAAAGGAAAGGAAAGGAAAAGCAAGCAAGCAAGCGTGTCTAAGACAACTTTAAATCTCCATACATTCTGGATTAAAGACAAAATATCTTGCTATTGCCACCAATGCACTGAAAAATCTGCTGCCATTTCCAACATCCCACCTTTGTAAAGCAAAGTTTTCTGACAGTGGCCAAAACAAGACTGCAGAGTAGACTGGGCATAAACAACACACTCAGGTGTCACTGTCTCCCATCACCCCCAGATGAAACTGTCTTGTTGCAGAAAACAAAGATCAGGCTCTCACTAATCTGGCTCTATGGAGAGCGTATTATTATTTCACCATATAGTACAATGTAATAAAAATATAAATAAAGTGCACAATGAATGTAATGCACTTGAATCATCCCAAAATCACCCCTGCCCCTATCTATGGAAAAAAATTGCCTCCCCCAAAGCCAGTCCCTGGTGCCAAAAAGGTTGGGGACCACTGGATGACCCTAAGGACAACTTCCTCATTTGGATTTTATACTATGCTAGTGACTGCAAACCTTTTAGAGCTTTCAGTAATAACAAACACCTGCTGCAGCACATACAGCTTGCCACCACTGTGGTGGAGAAGGGAAGCTTAAGGTTTCCCAATATATTCTTTACAACCTCTTGTGAATCTATAAGTATTTCCGCATAGAAAAGATAACAGGGAAGGAGAGGAGGAGATAGAAAAGGGAAAAGAGATAGAATTAGGGTGGGAATTGAAAGTGGGACAAGATGAATCATCGGAGGTCTGGCCAAGGCCTCTATTGTCAGAGCTGCCTGGATTTTGTTCCCGAGCCCTCTAGTAAGCACCAGATCGCACATGTTAATGGTACCCAATTTACCTGGGCACTTTGCCTAAAACCTGGGGATTATTTCCAACTTCATCCTCTCTCAGTCCCCGTGCCACACATATACACACCTCTAAACAATCATGACTTAGATTTAGGTAACTGTTCAGTTTTTGGAACTTATGTTAGAAATCTGAGATTTAGCTAATTACAGTGTCACTCAGTTGTATTAAGTGTTCAGTTTGGGTTACATCATACAGTTATGCGCTATTAGTGACAGCGCTAGAAGTTTAAAAGTTGTTTACTGTTCTTTATAATACCAAAATGACTTTTACAAACATCTAATAAGTACCCATTTTTATGGCATGTCTGTGTAAGACAGTGGTTCAGAAGTCTATTCAGTACTCTTGGCTGCAGTGAGTTTAAGCTTCTCATGTCCAGTCAAATAGCATATACCTGCACGTGTGTTTGTAGTGAAGTGCAGGCTGGTGTTAGTGAAGTACACTTCACATGTACATCAGCCTTTATCTCGATCATTTACTTCTCACCATGAGCAATCTTTGGCTAACAGATAAATTTGTTCAGCAAATATACCTAATATCTGGAATAACTGGACATACTGAATGAAATAATTTCAAGCTCTAGAGACCATATATTGTTCAAATCAGCAAATGTGTGCAATGATCTTTTTTTTTTTCCTCAAGTATTTTATTAGGAGGTTTATGCTGTGGTTCAGAAGTGTGGCACTGTCCTGTTGATTAGTTTTTCAAGGGCTACTACTGCTTTAAATTATTTGCAATAGTTTGAGTTTGGAGAATAAAAGATCAAGAGAAAAAAAAAAGGCTGGAGACACAACTCAGTGCAAAAGCCCTAGGTTCAATTCACAGTACTGCAAAAACAAAAGCAAAACAGTGCAATCAGAAAGGCAATGCCACTTCTCCTTTCGATTTACTGCTCGGCTGTGAGCATTCTTAATATAATCCTTTGCCCCTTATGCATGAAAACTGGAATTTATTTAGCTCTGTTAGTCCAAACTAATAATAGTAAAATGTCACTTGTGATCAGTAAGTTGCATCTGGCCTGGAACTATGTAAACTACAGATACCTGATATGGATATCTGCTCAGGGTTTCACTGGTTGCAATGACTCTTGTTACTGGACATGTGTCCTCTCCAGGGACTGTGCAAGGTATGTTTTTGGAGCTGGGAGAGATATTGGCTTTTTGTGGGCTACAAGCTTCTAAGCCAGAGCGCCTTCCACACCTGCTCAATATCCATCTCATCTCCCTGCATTCAACCTAACGCCTGGGCAGCTGAAGAAGTAGACTCTGAATTGCTGCTTGGACCACTGAAAGGACTGTCCAACGTGGCTACTGACAAGCTGCAGTCCCTGTCCCATAACTTCTGAGGGCACTGGGGTCTGTGAGTCTAAAGGTACAGTTGAGAAGACACACAGTACAAGTTGTACAGACAGTAAACAAAGTCGGGTTCCCACTCAGTGAGAATAATGAGAACCAAGGTGTTCTGACACTTCCATCTAATCCAGGTGAGCTGGCCTGGTCCTTTGTTCCATGCTAAACCATGCATTATGACTATAATCTTTCCCACTCTCCCTGGACTACCTCTTCCTTCCATGCTCTTCCCTTGGAAACGTCCCCCACACTCAGCCTCAGGAACCATGATGACAAACAGCTCCTAGGCAGCTTTTAAGTCGGGATCCCCTCTGTCCAAGGCACGGCCACCTCCTCTGTTCAGCAGAGCAAAGGCAGTCCTCCTGACCACTCCTCCTATTTGCTCTAGTCCTGGAATTTGTATCCCACTTATGCCCAAAGCATCATTTCTTACACTTCTTCCTACATCTTGCTCAAATCCTTTTTTCTCTCCCTGAGAAAAACCTACCTAACACTTTACTATTTCTGAAGTACAAACTGAGCCCCGCTCAGACTCCTGAGACAGGCCTTGTCATTTTTGCACTATTCTCTATAATCCCAGAGTTGGACAGTCTTTCACCCACAGTAAGACCAGTAAGCTGCTTCCCTCTCTTCCTTCAGATATCTCATTTCCTTTGATAGGCATCGCACTCCTGATATCATAAGCGATTCACATTAACTTAGAACTGGAACTAACTCCCTGCCTGTAGAGTGCGGTGACCCCTAAACCCTTGGGCCCACACAGGAGTCGCGTTGGGTTACCTGAAGGAAACTCAAAGGCTTCTTATGATGATGTGCCTTTGCAGCTAATCTTTTCCTCCTTTTTTCTTGGCTTCCTGCCTTCTTCCTTCCTATCACCTTATCTGCTCTTTGGCGTGATACTGTGAAAGCCTTCACTATGGCTTTGGTAAATTACCCAGGATATCAGCCATAGCGGCAATGAAGGAAAACATCTCTTCTTCTCCTCATGTTCACAAGTGGCCTCTGAGCTTCTGGTAAAGGGTAAAGATTCTGTGTCCAGAGGACACAAAAAATACCCACTGGAGGTTAGAGCCTTTATAATCTGGGTCACAGTATAATTGTACATCTCCTAAAGTTGACAAGGTTGGAGTTTGGGGCTTTACGGAAACATTTATAAGGAGTCAGCCTATAAGCCACCTACCTTCAGGAACTTCCAGAGCATCTTGTCACTTGGCAGTGAAGCTCACTGGCTCTTGTTCTGACAAGAATTCAGGAGTTTTCCTGATCCCAGGGCCTCCTGAAGCTCATCCGGCCTCTTCAGGAATTCAGATTCTGTGGTGACTTGGCTGATGAAGGCAAGGTGGGGGCAAGGCTGTGGCACATGTTGGTCAGCAGTGGTGGGAACGCCAAAAGTAACCAAGCCCCCCGCAACTAGTGAGAAAAAGTAAAAAGGGAGAAAGAGGTTATAGCTTCAAGCCAAAAGCTAACATCAAGTCAGGGTCACAGGGAAGCTACCTACAGGAAATCAATAAAAAGAGAGCTACTAGAGCTGGACAGGATCAGAAATTGAGGAGAGAATGTGCCCCATACCAAACCCATTTCTGCACTCTTAGCACCACCACCTGCAAATGTCACCACATAGTACTCGTCTCCTTCTCTTCTGTGGCAGTACCACCAGTCTCCTCAGCAACTGGCCTAAACACCTCAGCATTATCCCACCTATACTCATTCCAGCCAAGCAAAAACTTTTTCCATGGTTCAATACTGGTTCAGTGTCTCTCATGTCTTCAAGATCTCTCCCATCCCATTCCCATTGCTAGCACACCTATATTACCGGAAGAGTTTACCAGCCTTTGTTTTCTTGTTTCTTGGATTTTTGTTCTTTTCTTTTATCCCTCCTCCAACCCAAGTCTTACAACCCAACCTACTGCTTCTACTACCTAGCTGCTACTTAGGATCTCTGAATAGATTCACAAGCTAAAGGAGAGGACTTACATTCACCTATCTAAAAACCCTAAATGCAAAACTCCGCAAAGTCAGCCAAACCTGTCTTTCTCTGCACCTCTTTCTCCCTGAAGCTCTTTCTCCTTGCTTATTTATGTGATTGCTTCACACCCCTAAAATGCAGTCATTCCTGCCTCTGTTCTTGACCCATACCCACACCTCATCTGTAGCACCCTTCTTGCAAATCTGATACTTTATGGAAGCATCTGGCACAAAGGAGGAGCCTAAACCAGGCCCTTCCTCTAGCAGTTGTCGGCCATGGAAGCACATTTAACCTCCCACAGAGACCACCAGGCCACCAGATGGATCCCAGATGATAATATCATGAAGTCTGGGACAGTGAGGAAGCAAGCATCAAGATTTTTTAAATCTCACATTATTCCAATGTATACCCTAGGTTGACAACTATTGCCTTACTATTTCCTTTCCTAAGATCACCTTTTCATAACGAAATTCAGTCAGAATTACTTCATCTCTGGACTCCTATAGCACAAATCCATACTGTGCCTTAGTGCTTCATAAAACCATCTCACCTTCTGATTTATATGGACAGTTTTACAAAATGCTAACATTTACCCTCACCTGAGGCTCATGAAAATCCACTAACTGAAGCTAGGCAGATATTCCTATCCCTGCTTTATAAATAAGAACAACGAAGTCCTGAGGGGTTGGTTAAAAGTTAGCCTGCTCATAAATGAGGGAGCTTTGATAAGAAGTTGGCCTCTTGACCTCAGGGTTCTTCACCTCAGTTTTTCTCCTCTTTTTCTCTTAACCTCACTTCCTCTTGGGTGTGTTAGTCTCACCTTCCTAAAAATACTGTGGGTTCTAAAAACAAGAACCTCCAGTTTCATGCATCTGTCTTCAATTCAAACCTAATTTTAAAGCACTGTACTAAAACAGTGACGGCAAACCTTTTAGAGCTTTCAGTGACAACAACGGCTGGCTGCGGCACGTGTGCCACAGGTTCGCCACCATTGTACTAGAGGCTCAGGGCCACAGACCAGCAGCAAAGATATCATCTGAGAACTTGTTGGAAATCGAATCTTGAGCACTATCCCAGATCAAATGAACCAGAATCTGATTTTAATACAATCCTCCTGTGATCAATACATTACTTCAAGGTTATAAAAATCAACAAGATACGGTGCCTATCCTTATGGAGCTTATTATGTAGTAAGTGTCCGAATATGTGTATAAATTTAGTACAGAGAGAAAAGACCACTTCAGGAATATAAATCTGTGGATTACAGAAAAAGGTCAATTTTGTTTTGTTTTTTGAGACAGGGTCTTGCTTTGTAGTTAAGGCTGGCCTTGAACTCACTGTGTGGTCTTAAACTCACAGTAATCCTCCTGCCTCACCCTCCCAAGTGCTGGGATTACAGGCATGCACCACCACACCTCACAGGAAGGTTAATTTTGACAGCGTTAAGGACAGGCAATATGGAGGAGATGGTATGTAAGTGGGAGGCCCTGAAAAGCCATAGTAGGGTTCAATGAGCCAGGAGGGTAGGGTATAAACAGAAGCAAGACAGTAGAGGAGTTAGTAATGGAATGAAAGGATTGCATGTAACTGGAATGTGGGGAACACATGAGAATAAGAGGGGAATCAGAACTGGAAAGGTAACTGGATCCCTGGGTATGCTCAGACTTGAGTCTACAAAGCAATGGGAGACCCAAGTTGCTCTTCAGGCAAGGGAATGACAGGATAAAAATCAACATTTTTTTTTCTCTCCTTCTCTGTACTCCTTGCCACCAGTCCAGTTATATAAAGGTTAGAAAAATCTCAAGTAGAATCTTGGGCCATCACCCACAGTGTAGAGGTCTAAACCAATCAATACCTTTACGACAAGCCTGGCACAGTGGATAGGGTTCAGGATGGGCAAGAGGGAAGAGGGAGCAGCTACAGCAACTGCTTGAGAGGTACAGTAGGACCTGACCCTAGACAAAGACGGTGGAATGGATCTCCTGTGGAACTTAGCTTCTTCCTAAGCACATGGATGGCTTCACACACAAAATCCCACCACACACCCATGATGCTTACAGCAAAGGAAACACCTGCTGGCCTTCGAATACATCTGGGGGGGCGGTTTTCAGGGGAGGTACCCATGATGCTTGGGCCACTTGCTCTGGCGCCTACAATGGTGGGAGAGGCTGGCCTTTGCTGAAAGAAGAAATCTGAGAAAGGACAGCTGCATCACCAGCCTGAAGTGGCAGCTTTGCCAGAAACTCCACCTACAAACTCCACTTTTGGAGGAATCCTTGAGACTTCAGACTCACACATCCTAGGTGATAGAGCTGGGACTGGAAGTGAGGATGGGCTCACTTCCATGCAGGAGGCTCCTAGAAAGCCTATCCCATTCAAAGGCTACAAGGACCAGAGGAGAGAGGGAAAGAAAGCAGTCCGTGTTCCTGTGACAATGACCTAAACATAGAGGCCCAATATTCCTGAAATGTCCCAGGGAATATCCAGTAAAAGAATCAAGGTGAAGGTCTCCTTCACATCAGTCAGAAACTGACATCCTCCCAGGAAGATGGGCCGTGGAGCAAGGTACAGCCATCCAAACCCAGGGCCCCAGTCTCCCCACTGCCCCCACCTCTTCCCAGCCATGTGCCCTTCTCTCTCCCTGAAAACATAGGTAGCCCCTTCTCTCCAGCACCTCACACTGAGTGCTTCAAACCTTATCAGCCTGCCTCATGTGCGGGACTTCCCAGCTCCAGCCCATCACGGAGGACAAATTGATCCAGCCATCAAAGGAGGCAGCAGAAAACACTGATGGGTCCTGAGGGCACCACTGCACATCAAAACACCAGCTGCTCAGTGTGGATAATTTGTATACCACCTAAGGGAACAGAGCCACTGGGCATCACAGAGTCCAGCAGACTCTGCCTTAAGGCAACCCAAACACAAAGCTGGGGTCCCTCTGCCATCTCATCTCCATGCCACTGGGCCTACAGAAAGGTCAGCCTATGTCACTGTTCCTCAGGTTCCTGCACAAGATCTGGTTGTCCTTGGCAATGCTGAGTAAGAGCTCAGCATCAGCCTGGTTCCATGACATTGACAAAATCCCCCTAAGAAGGAACAGAAAGAACAACTAACATTTGCTAAATGCCCACTCTAGTAAAGTGCCTTATATATCTCAAATAAATCTCAGTGCCCAGCGTGTGGTCTGATTTCATTACAAATGAAGAAAATGAGACTGAAAACTTAAACAACTTCCAAGAGCTCCACAGCCAGAACCCAAGTCAAACTCCAGGGCACTGCACCACTCTGCCTCCACAGGTCACTGCTGTATGGCCCACTTTTCACAGTTAGAGCAGGATCGCAAATCTGTAGGAAGCACACAAACACCCATCCCTGTGGAGCTTTTAGTGAAGACCCAACCCTCAAAAGTCCCCAAGGAGATATAAAGGCATATGGCCCTTTTGTCGAAAGAACAGCGGAAGAACTACAGCTGCAGAACCAGACCTGGTCACTGGACCTTAGACATCAAGTTGCTCGTCAGAAGTCTTGAAGAAGGCTACCTCATCACTCAGACAAATGAACATTCCCCTCAGATCAGAGCCTAGGGATATTCTCGGGAGGACTGCTCCACTTCAGGTCTCAGGGGTCCCCTCCAAGGTCTGTGTGTTAGGGACTTAGTCCCCAGAGGGAACTGTTGCGAGGCAGTGAAACCTTTAAGATCTGGGCCTACTGGGAGGTCTCTGGCTTGCTGAGTGTGCCTGAAGAAGACTGTGGGACTTGGGCTCTTCCTCATGCTCTCTTGTTCCCTGGCCACAAGGTAAACGGTTTTGCTCTGCCACACGCTCTGGTGATGCTGTGCTGCCTCACCACAGGCCTGAAGGTGTGATTAACTGAGGTCAATCAGTTGTGAACTGAAACCTCCAAAGCTGTGAGCTCAGACAAACCTTCTCTTTTTTAAGTTACTGTCTCAGATGTCATGTTATAGAGATGATGAACTAATACAGGAATGAAACACGGGCTCTGATATAATCGCATTCCCACTCCCTGACAGGAGGTGGAATCACAGGCTCTTCTCCATACCTTCAGGTCTCAATTAATTCATCTTGGTTAGGGCTGAAGCTAGCACTGGCCATGAGTTCCCGGCAAAGGCCTGGAAGCTATGCTTGGTAACTAAAGTGAGGCATTCACTGCCTCCTATCTGTGTCACTTGTACCAAGATGTGAGTGGGTTTTGAGATGCTACCTGCTGTGGTTGTCTAGTACCTTCAGAGGTGAGGAGGAAAAGTGCAAGTCCCACAAGTGAATCACAGGAAGATGGTCATCCTCTGAGCAAAGCACTAACTGAGTGGCTATGTCTGGGTGCCAGGCCAGGCCCAAGCAATGCATCTGTGAACAAAACAGATCCCAATGGGTGATGCAACCTGACTCTTCTAGTTAGGAACCTTTTCTTCTCAGTTGGAATGGGACCACTGTGAGGGCAAGTTTTGTGTCTCTTCCACACGAACGGGAATACAACAGCCATTATTCTTACCAGGAATCTGCTAAGAGGCTGAACCCACATGTCCAGAAGTGGGTAATGAAACCCTGCTCTGGGGTAGAGCAGCTCTAACTGCTCAACATAAGAGAAAAGGAAGAGCCCAGGCCTGCACTCTGGCTTCCACTCCTTACCCTGTTGTAGTGATCGCTGACTTTGATGATAGGCTTGTTCTTCCTGAGATCCCACACAACTACCATGCCGCTGGGGTTAGCAAAAGACAGAATGTGCTGGACTTTCTGGTTCCAACAGAGTGCCCTGATGTCTTCTGAGAGCTGCAGAGACAGGTAGTAGGGAGGACAACTCATCACCCCATGGACCAAGAGACGTCTGCTGTTCTACTGCTCCCAACCTGCACAGCAAGCTCAAGAGTACACATGGGGCTCCCTGAGACAGTCTTAGGGAGGTGGGGGCTGGCTTTTCCTAGGATGATCCTTTAGGGTCCTGGTATAGAAGTAGGGGAAAGGCAGACATGCTTGGGTTTTCCCCAAGCTCAAAGTTCTCCTGAGAGGATATAGTCAAGATTTAAGAATAGCCCTCTTATGTAGGATAAAGAAAGAGGGATAGAAAGAGGAAGGTGAAAGACAGAGGGAAACATAGATACTCAAGACATCTATATGATGTGAGACAGAAGGAAAAACCAATGATACTTCCAGGGTATGGGGTGTTAGCAAATCCATATCTAACCTACTTCACAATACCATAAGCATAAGATAGAGAAAAGCCAGAAGAACAAAAAAAAAAAAAAAAAAAAAAC